AGCTCGCTGTGCTACAGAACACTTTGCCGTAACTTCTCTCCTGATTTAATTAACCTTTTACTGGCTCTGTTCACGCAGTAAATCTGCTACACACAACTGTAAAATGTCTATGACCGCCGTGTAGACCTGTGACTTGAACAAATTGAAATTCTTTTCTGCTACATCCCCCTAGTAAACACTCCTGGATAAGAACACGGACATGCAAGGCCCTACTGCTTCCCCACATCCTCTATGAAAGCATGAATGCGACACACTGTTTCCCACAATAAGTTTGGGCAGGAGGTGCAGGCCGCAGCAGACAAAGCCTCTACAAGTGTCCTGTACTGGCAGCTTAGACAAAGAGTCTGGTGGGACTGCTTGCCTTGCAGTTTCTGAAGCAGATTTCCTCAACTAAAGTGTGGAAAGAAAAAAATGTTGCACAATTGACTTTAAGGTAATGGCACAAGAGGCTGAATCTGGATCAGGAAGCAAAGAGACAAAAATGACAAGGACAGAATAGGAAAAAAAAACAGAGTAAGGGACCAGTGAGAGACAACAACTCAAATAAAAAATAAAATAACGTTCCCACTTTAATAAACTATGTAAAGACATTTTCTATAAGCTCCGAACAGGCTACTGTAAGAAAAACTGGCTGTAACGCCAATAAATACCAAATTCTAACAGGAAGGATCTAGTTTAATCTGGGATCAACAGACTGAAAAGTGGCTCAAAACCAAAAAACATTACAGACATTATGGCAAATTTTAATTTAATTCCACATTTTTATGACAGTTGATCACCATCATAAATATAAATTCTTTAATTATCAATAAAATAAACAGATGCAGCATGGTTTATGTATATGGGTAGAAAATTGTTTTAGAGGTGAAATATGGAAGGAGGAAATCAAGGTTTGAACTGGTGAGTGGGGAAAAATGACCCAGGAGCAAATGCTACTGTTGATAATAATAATAATAATAATAATAATAATAATAATAATAATAATAATAATAATAATAATAATAATAATAATAATAATAATAATAGTGAATAGTAGTGAATAGTTATTTAGAATAAATTAATTAAATAATATGTATTAATAAAATAAATACAAATACCAAGATTAATATACAATAAAATATATTATAGTTATTATTACCAATATTCTATTAGCAAATATAATTTCTACTAAAATTTCTTATAAGCCACTTGCTCCTTGTGTGTGCATGTAACTGTGTTTTTGTCTGCTTCTATTTACGCGTCGTGTGTGTCTGTGTGTGTCTGAGTGTGTGTCTGACTATTTGTATGTAACTGTGGACAAAAATAGAGTAAAAGGTCATCTGTGGTTAAGCTGTGAGAGGAACCAGAGGCTGCCCCTTCACACCCCAACACAAGCTGGGGGGGCAGCCCTCTCCAAGGCCGCAGACACGGATAAAAATCCCAGAAGACGGTGGCTCTTTAGCCCGGGATGACAGACATTACCGGGAAAGTGGTTTGCTTCAAACCAGGTCCAGCAGGCATCAAGTCCCTCCGTTAAACAATAAATCCACCTGATGTGTTTCATAAGGTGAGCTGTTGTCAGGTGCTGAAGCTCTCCACCTATAATACCTAACAAGTGAGCGTGAGCTTTTTCACACCCTATTAGGAATACAACTCAACAGGGCCATGCAATGTTTTTGCTGCATGAAGTCATTCATGTTTTATGAAGGATATAATATTGATTTTAAGCCCAGCACAGCCAACATTGGAGGTGTGTGTGGGGGGGTGATCAGTCTCTGGTAGTGTTGACTTTTCCTCCGAGGATGTTCTTTGACCTAACACAAACATACTGAAATATAAATATATAAGCAACCTTCACAACAAGGTTTTCATTTTAAAAAGTGCACTTTAATAGTTAGTGCCCCAACCTCGAGAGAGAAGAGCACACAGTGGCTTTTTGTTTTGTTTGGAGGGAATTTGTTCACATTTTTAAATCAGGACATTTTCTGTCCTTAGTTAAAATTCATTTCCTCAGAACAACTCTGAGCACCAAAGATCATCCTGAGGTATTAAATATTAAATCTGGTTTTAATAAAAAGATGTCCATATTCTCTGTTAGAGTGGAGAATTACAACATGTAGTTTGCTGCATTTTTAATTTTTTATAATTCTTAACATTTGTAACTATTTTTAATCAAATTAAAATGTCTGCAGGAATCTGGAAATGCTAAGGACAGAAAGTGACCCACATTCAACTCCATTTGAAATCTCAATTAGACTTTGCATGACTTAATAGGTCCTTCTAGAATCATTGATACTCTCTAATATGACTATATAAACCCAGCTATGCATAAGTATATCCCACCATAATTACTGTTTCTCTCTCTTTATTTTTAAAAATACATTCAACTAAATTTTAATTGTGTTGCAAAGAACTTCAACTTAAAGCATTAATGACTTATTCAATTGTTTAAACTCTATAATTATAATATCCAGGTAAAATATCTTAATCACAGGAATATTTTATGCAATATTCTTGGTGTGGAAATTACTTTTGCATTACCTTTTTTTTAGGACTAAGGGCACTCAAAGAGGTTTATAAAGATTATTTTTATTTATTTAATTAATGAATTTATTTATTTATTCATCTGCCTTTTCTCCATAAAATATGTATTTATTTATTTATTTTGAAAATAAATAAATATTAGCTGATATTGCTTGAATAAAATAAATAAATATCTCCACTAAAGACGTCTTTGATGTTTTAAAATTTTCTTTAAAGCCACTAAGTAAAAAGATAGAAAAACATAAACAAAATATAAAAAAATACAAAGAAAGTAGTTAAGTAATAAAGAAAGGAAGAAACAAAGACATACAAAAAGATGGAGAAAAACAAAGACAGAAAAGTAAATAAATAAATAAACAGGCCAAAACTAATACACAAACACTGAAATATTTAAATAATGTTTGGACTAATTTAGAAAGCCTCCTGTGACAGCCATTATCTTCTGAATCAAATATGCAAAATAACTAAATTTCTCCCTGCCCACAAAATAAATCACCTTTCATTCTTTCCGCCGTCCCACATGAGTTTTTACAGAGCTGCAGACTGACCCCCAGATGACCACCCTGGGTTCATCTGTTTCGGTAACCGACCTCTGTCCCTGAGGTGGATATCTGCAGATGCCACACGCTGCGAACGCACACAGGCTTTGGTACTTGTCTGTGTCGAACACTCTGCAGAACAGAGCAAATTACAATGAAATATCGAGTTCATTTATGAATAAGTGGGGCTGAACGGCCCCTTGTCGGAGCTTCCGCATGCATATTGAGTTGATAGAAACCTTTGGATGGGTCATTTCTCTTAGCTGCTTCATTAAATAGTGAAAGTCAAAAGTGCAATGCTTCCTGCCAAAGGAAAAAAAAAGACAAAGATCTATAGAGGTGGAACAGAGGCGGGGGTTTTTTGTTCTGACTTGAAATGCAATAAACCAAGAAAAGGTTATAAAAAGAGACAAAGTTTGAATTTTAAATGATGTGAAACTGAAAATAAGAAAGAATTCACTTTTCGCAACATTGAAAAAAAGAACTGATTTTTTTCCTGCAATGACCAAAAATATAGACTCACTCCTGCCTTGTGCGTGACCTTAACTCCCAGCAGGACATTGTTCAAACCTGAGCCAATCAGCAGAAGCTTCTTGAGGCGTTTCCTGACTGTGGAGTGTGCATGAGTGTGTGTGAGGTCACACACTTTTAAGTGGTTGCGGCACAGAAGGAATCAAAGCACAGGAGAGGATCTATTGAAGCAAAGCTCTGTGTTCTCCTGCAAAACGGACCAGCCTCTTGAGATGCAGTTTCGTTTCTGGCATATAGAACAACAAATGTGTCCTGAGTGAGGCGCCGAGGAGGTGAGGCGCATTTCCTTTGAGGCCAGTTTCAGGAACAGATGCCTGAATTTGAATTCTGATGGCATTTTGAAAAGGTAGAGGACTAAGTCAGCTCCCCCACCCTGGTAGACGAGCTCCCCATGATGAATGCTGCTATTAAGAAAATGACTTGTCTCAAATGTCAGACTGTGGCCAATGTTTTCAGTATAAAAACTGATAGCAAGAGAACAAGACATGTTCTTTTTTATCCTCTCTTTAATGTTCTTGCCAGGAAAGTGTAATAAACCCTAATTATTTGAACTGCCTGCCATTCTTTGATAACATCGATTTCTTAAAAATAATTAGAGCTTTGCATCAGATGTGTTACAGTGGTGACACCATAATGATGATGAATGACATATGAAGTCAGGAGAGCTTTCAGAGCACAGAACTAATTACAACAGAGAAAATTAATTTCAAACCAAAGATTAGGATTACACCAAAATACAAACAAGTAAGATGATCAATTTAAAGACTTTATGATGCAAAATGAAACTAAAGTCATTAAACAGTAAAATAGCAGCATGAAAGAATCAAGCTGTGAACTCAGTGTGACATAAATGAACCTAAAATCAGACAGGTACACATTTAAACAATCCGTAAACACTGCCTCTCTTTGGTGTAGAAAAGATTTGCCCTCTTCAAACAGAGAAGCCCAATCCTCCATCTCAGGTTTTCAGCATGATCAAATTTGCACTTCAAACCATTGTGCCCATTTAATCAGCCATTATGTATGCCCAGTCAACCACTGCAGAATTTCTAAGCAAAATCTCAGACTGAGGCGCACAAAGCTATCTTTGATTCTGCGATAGCCCATGGGGAAACTTTATCAAACTCCTCGGCTTCCCGCCGAGACGGACCAGGTGACTAGCAAGCACTCAATCTCAGGGCGAAATTTTTCTCTGAATGCAGCAAAGACTCTCCCCTTTGATCCAAACAAAGACAGCTGCAAATGCCTCTCTAAAAAGCTGCCCCACCAATCACACTTCCACTTCCTTCCACCAATCAGGAGCTCGTCTGCAGCACCAACCATGCTGCTGCTTTTTCTACCTAGTGATTTTCTTCCACTTTTCAAAGCAAAGAGGGAGGTGTGAGATGCAAAGTGTGCCCTACTCACCCATCTCAGTGTCCGATTTATTGTCCATTTCCGTGTCAGTGAGCGTGAGCGCCGAATTGGAACGGCTGGAGAGGCATGAATTCTGCCCAGATTTTGCCCCCGTTCCCCAAAGAGTCATGGTACGTTCCGGTGATACAGGTTCATGGTTTTCTGTGGCGGCCGGCCCCCGGGTGTAGCTGCTGAGAGGGTGGGACAGGCCAGTCTCAGGGCAGAGAGCCAAGCCTCTGCGAGCTGCTGGCTCACAAATCCCGAGCTGCCTCAATGAAAATGTCTGTCCTGTAAACGACAGCAAGTTGTAAAGTTAACAAACCGAGTAACAACCAGGTTAATAGCCAAGAACACAACCTCCTGATGAGCATTGTGACGTCTGATTCTTAACATCTAAATCCCCCACATTTTCTGCAATCAATTAATAAAAAAAATATTCTTAAACCAAAAATAAAGTATTTAGTTGTGATAAATATTTTTTTTTTTTCAGGCACACACAATTTAGAAAATATTTTAACTATGTCAACAACACATGGTTTCTGCTCTCCACTTGCAGCTAGTTAGGGCTTCTATTCTACATGCACCTGAAAAAAATAATAAGCTGTCATAACTGTCTATGCATTTTTTCCCCACGGCATAATGCACAGCAAACAAAAAACTACCACTGAGTTCAACTAGAAGTTCCAGAATTATGGGAAAAACTAGTCCAACTTTCAGTTCACTGTGTCTTCCACTATAAATAAATAATATATACTTATTATAATATTTCTAATTTCATATATATATATATATATATATATAAACCCTATATTCTATAAGGCCAAACTAAATGCATGTACATAGTTAAAAAACAATATAAAATTGATTTAATTGTTGCATAATTATGCAAGTGACAAAAACCACAAAAAAATATTATGTTTTTATAATTTCTTTTTTTTAAAATAAAGCAAGTATTTATAAAATATTATTGCATTAAGGAAAAAATGCTTTAGTAATTCTATTTTTAATTTGTTCTACCCTCTAAAATATTAAACAAGTAAAATTGTTTGTCTTATTTTCGTTATTCACACACATGTAGGTGTGTGTGTACACGCACCAACACACACACACACACACACACACACACACACACGCTGAATGAAATAAATATGCTCTTTAAATCTGGCATTTACCATGATGATCTAAGAAACAGATTCCAACTCTAAATGTCTACATTAAATTAAAAAATAAAACAGTTTTCTTCCCACAACTTCATCTTGATCCCATTAAATCTGAAACGGACACCAATTAGCACTAGGAAAACGTACGGGAGTAATGGATAGATTTTCTGATTGCAATCTTATGAGCCCAATGAGTGCCATAAAATAGAGTAAAGTGCTCAAACTTTTTAATTACACAATTTAAAGCAGCTTCCACCAGCCAATTAAAACCAAGTGTTACTTTTTAGGCACTGCTTTTACATTTTACTGAAGTCCAGAATGGTTGGAGTGTTTTATAGGATCAGGGAAACCCATTGGATCATGTTCTAAATGAGTTTTTTCCAAAAGTTTCAGAAAATAACACTTGATTATGCCTTAGTGACTTCCTTTAATTGTGTTTACCACAGTCTGGAGGACTTCTTGGGATATTGTGTTTTTTTTCACATCAATTTTGCATAGATAAAAAGAATAAAACTGTGAGATTTTTCATTTTGGTAAACAAACGACAAAATCCCTGCATTCATGTTCATTTTCCTAATTAAGTCTCACACTAGTAAGCAGCAGCAAATCAACAAGGATATGAAGATTTTGTTATTTATTGTATTTACTAAAGTAGAGAGAATGAAAGTTTCCACTTTTGTAAACTGAAGGAGTGTTTTTCCATCACTTCCACAATTAAGCAGTTACATTTTAAAAGAAAAAATGTTAGTTAGACCTTATCTCATATTACTGTCAGGTAAATATGTACAACATATTTCACAAAAGTATCTAACAGATGTATAACATTTGATAGAAAACCCTGTTTTCACTAACCAGGCCTGGTGTATTCTGCTGTCTCCTTGTGGACCATCTCCTTGACTCTGCCTCCAAACAGCATCCGTGAGGGGTCATGGTCGAAGGCCTGCAGGGTCTCGCTGGAACTGTACGATTTCTGAGTGGGAACACGACAGGCTCCGTTGTCCCGGTCCGTGGAGGAAGCTGTGTAGCGCCGCTCCCGATCCTTGTCTCGCTCGCAGTCTCTGTCCCGCTCCCTCTGGCTCTTGGACAGCGAGCAGAAAGGCCGCTGCTCCCTCACCCTTTCCATGCTACCGGCATGCTGGGCATCCAACTCCCTCCCTTTTGCTACTGACACTCTACTGAGGCGTTCACCACTGGATTATTTCACTTTCTTTCAGCTCCCCCTTCCTGCTCTCTCTGGGCTGTGATTCTCGTCCTGTGACTGATTTCCTCTCCAAATCCCTCCTCCTCACTTCTGAACCCCTGTCGCTCTTTTCTTCAGTCCATTCGGCTGTCCACCTGCTGCACCTGCGGAAAAAAAAAAAAAAACGAGAGATGAGGAAAGGTAGCAAGGAGCTCCGATAACACTAATCCCACAGCTTCATCTTCAAAAGCACACACTTATCTCGTTCTCACTGCCCCACCCCAACGCTCCCTCCACACCTCTGAAACTTCACCCATGAACACTTGACTTCTACTCTTGAACAACTTCCTCTTTTTTGTGCTTGTTTCAGATGTTAAAAGTGGGTTTAGCTTCTGAAAGTTGGTTAAAAATAGTCAAAAGACTTTTTGTCAATTTGATCTTCTGGAAAAAATAAAACATAATCTAAATTTACAACATACTAAAATGATATTATAGCAAATATTTTCATTCTAACTGTTTAGCAGTTGTCATTTAAATACACAGAGGAGCAACGATAATGTGGGCAAAGACAAAGACTAATTAAAAATTAATAGCTCCTATATATATTTTGTTAGGCTGTGGCAGCTAAGTAAAAAAAAATATAGGAGCCGGTCTTTAAATTATTAAACCTTGTACTTATGGTGCTAAATATACCTGCACACAGCTACTTGTTTTTTAAAGCTATGTCTTGAATTTCTGCTTCCACATCACTAAAATTGAGGTTAAATGCAAGGTGTTTTTTGGGTTTTTTTTTTTTTTTTGGACTAGTCAGGGCTCTGAAAATTCATAACAGAAACGTGTTTCCTGGAAAACTGCCACTGTTGGAGAGCAGCCGTTTCCACAGAAACCTTTATGCATTTGCAACAGAAATTATTCATCGTGAGCCCAAACAAACTCAAGAGTGAGGAAAAACTTCACCTGGATCTGTGGTGGAATTCAACCCAAAAAGAGAAGCGATGAGAAGTTAACTTTCTGTCGCAGAAGGATTTAATTTTTTGTTTTACACAGGGAAGGTGAAAAAATTGTGGAGTCAGTCTTTCTCAAACTGTGTTTGAAAGAATTTTTGTTCAGTTTAGATCTTAACATCCAGTTTTGACCAAGAGACGATCAAATATCTTCAATTCCTTGAATAACACGCATATAGTCCTTTAGTGTAGTACCAGACTGCAACTGTGGACGGCCCTCCTCCTCATTTTGCCCCTTTATTCTTTAGTGTTTCATACCAAACTTTATTCCCATTTTTCAAGCTACCAAATGGTACTATCGGTTGCGGTTTAACCGCCAGGCAAATATTTTATGCTACCTTTTAGAACCAACTGGGCTATTTTAGAACCAACTGTAAGGACACGTAGTTATATGACTCCAATAAATCTCATCTAGCAGCAGAAGGTCATTCTGCTTATTTCAGTTGGATCAGATCAGCTCATAATCCTATGTATTCTTTACTTTCCTTTATACAGTCACTACATTAAGAATCTTCATATATAAATATATATGCAAAAATTGTACATGTTTAATGTGTCAAAGAAAATATAAAATTGATAAATAGAAATTAAGAAAGAGCCTGAGAACAGCTACCCAATGGAAATAAAAATACTTCGGTACACAATTAAAACATCAGGTTTACAAGATGTTAAAAAGTGTTTCCCCCTTATGTTTATTTTTTAACACAAGCAGTGTGAAACTAAGAACCGCGTTTAACATTTTTATAAAGGAAATCTTCCTTTTAAAAACGCTCAACACCAAAATATACGTTAATAAAAATCGTCAACAGTAAAAGCTTTTGCACACTTCCTAAAGATCAGGAACTTAATGACGGTCCGTGTTTTAATTTTTAGCTTGCTAACCTCCCCGCAGCGCCATTTTCATTGCTTTACCAACAATGAGTGAAGTTTGTTTCATAATTTCCCTGAAGGAACATCTGAGTCGGGAAACGAAGCAATAAAGCAGCTTCAACTCTCACTTCTACTGATTTATTTAAATGCTTACGAGTTAGCAGACGCCACTAGCTGTAGCAAGCTAGCTTCTTCTCTTTCTGAGTAGTGTCGTTTCCTGTCGCGTCAAATTAACTGGTGCTTGACAAAATGGTCAGGAAATATTTCTCCTGTTTTATACAACTCGGTGGCCCTCAACCTTGCGCTAAATTATTTATTTTCGGAAAGACGTTTGGAAAGATGTGGCTGATCGGTTCGCTCTGTGTAGCGGAGAGGCGAGCTGGCGCAGAGCTGAGCTCCGTGTAACCAGGTAACGGTGAATTCTGTGAAATTCAATACAGATGTAAACCAACTGACCAGATTCTTATTTGGTTTTTTGGCGGTTTAGCCATGTTTGCCTTCACCCTTACAACTTCATATCACAGGACGTGTGATGTACTTACGCCATGAAATTACCATATCGCGATAAAATGTATTTTACCGGGAAAAATAATAATAATAATAATAATTATATATATATATATATATATATATATATATATATATATATATATATATATATATATATATATTCAAAGATTTGTATATTAGGTTAACCTTGAAATTTTACTGAAAGCAGAATATCCCTAACTCTCATGAAGTTCAACTGTAGCAAACAAAAGACTTTTGTAAAATTATAAAGATGTTTAATTTAAAAATCAATCAGTCTCTAATATTTATCATCATTCTATTCATCTGTTCGACATAAATTGTTTTTCCTTCACATACAATGATGGATTATTATACATTTAAGAAGACCATGAGTTTAAACTATGTCCTTGAATTCCTTTTTTAACTATATTTTTTGAGACTAAGGGGAGCACCCATTACTCACACATTCAAATAAATAATGGAAAACCTATTTACAAAACAACTGACACATTTTCTTTTTTCTCTCACTCTTTCTTTTGGTGTCCACAGAGGAAGGCCACCCTGGGCAGGAAGCCATATTGCCCACCACTGGAAGTCTATTAAAACTGAAGACATCTATTTTCAGAAAAAAACAAAACAATGTCTAATTATCAGTAAACAGGTTAACAAATTGAGCCGAATACACCAAGAAAAAAACTTCCTGATTTCAGGATCTTTTGTATTTTGTATGGCCACCCTGGCCTTAGACAGAAGTTGCTTATATGCACAGGAGCATCTGATATATCAGTTAAAATCTTCCAGCTGGTATAAATTCATAGATGACTTCCCAACTGTGCTCTGCAATGTGAACCAGGGGGATATGAATGTGACCATCCCCTCCCAAAAAAAAAACGCATCTTGGAATGTGGAAGGGAGCTGTGGTGTGTCAGAAGTGTTTATTACCAGCCGTTTTCCACTGCCTCCTGACACACACTCACACACCACGAACTAAATTTCATTTCTCTCTTGGCTGAGCAGTAAGACTGGAGCATCAGACTCCATCTTTTCCCAAATGAGATCTACTTTGTTTCACATCAAGCATCAAAACATTTCAATGAAGCCAGGATAGTGTACCGTCACACTGCGAGATAGCGCCAGCCCCGGAGACTTCCCAAAACCTGGAGCAGTCACCGGTGCAGTGCAGGATGCAGGGATAATGAAAATTGTAAGCTCTTCCACACCTATTAAACTTCCTCCCCCACCTCCCAAAGTTGTCTGATATGATTCTGTTTCCCTGAAGGGCTGAGATGCAATCAGCAACAGACTCTCCTGTAACCCTTCCACTCAACTCTCCACACTGCACCCCAAGCAGTTGTTTTTAGATGCCGCAGGCCATCTCAATCACATCTCATCAGTTTCAGCAAATTGTACACACCCGTCCAGACGGGCAGATTAATGCATGGGATGAGTGCATGCGGACACGCCCAGGAGCATCCCTGATTACGATCCTCGTCTTCTTTATGGACTTGTAAAGAGATTCGCTGTCTGAAGAATGGCTAATGCTACAAGTCTCACCCACTAAGCCGCACTCTGGACTATAGCAGGATTTAGATGTGCGTCCTAATCAGCTATAAGCCCTTGAGTGACCAAGCATGGACCTGTATAAACATCCCTGTGTGACAGAGGATGGGATCCATTCACAGCTACTTCAAGTGTCTTGCTTGTATGTAAACAGCATTGCAAGACACCTGAGAGGTATTTGTGGTAGTCTAAATTATGTACAAAAGGTTCTAGACACTCTTGTTTGTGCTTCTGCAGTGGCAGTAAAGTCTGAACTTAAATAGACTGAATATGCAGTGTCTTCATTCCAAAAAAAGTCTGCAATTGAACCTCTCAAAAGAAACAAAGGCAAGAAAGTGAAGATTTGCCTGCTTGCTTTTAAACAGAAACTGTAAGGCAGGCCTTTTCACTTTCTACCTTCCTACCTTTGATCATGCAGCTGAATCAGGACAGTCAGTCACCCGTAACCATTCAGTAGAGGAGTCGACAATGCAAAATTAGTGTCACACAGAGGTCCTCCTGCGAGCCACTGAGCCACGGAAGAAGACAATTCATGAGCTATGCGGCGCAGCTCTACACACATCTCAACAACTCCCCTGCCAGTCGAATACCGTCCCCCCGACACCTACTGCTGTCCTACACTTCTGCACTTCTTTGAAGCATAAACCATAAACCATCTGTACGATACAGTGAGGGAAAACGGCTCCAAGTCATTTGGCTCTTCAAGGCAGCTGGAGAGGTTTCAAGGGTCTGAGATTTACTTGTTTCATGTCTGACAACGAGTATTTTATTCATCAAAGATGTCCGAAAGGGAGTTTTATGCTTCTGATCTGGGATTTGAAAAGGATGACCAAAAGAGAACAAGCATTTTTTTTTTAATCTGATTTTGAATAACAAGCATGTTGGTTTACTGAAAATAAACTGAAGAAACCTGGGTAATCTCCACTTTATTCATCAAAACCACTAAAAATATTATTTGATGACACAAGCAAGGGTGTGTTTAAAACACAGGGCAACTTTGTCAGCAGCTCTACGTCAATTAGTCAACTCATTAGAGCTGAAATAATTAATTAACCAATTAGTGAATTAACAGAAGATTTGTGTGCAATGTTTGGGATTCGTTTAACAATAAATACCACTTATTCTCTCAGCTTTTAACACCAAGAGAAAATATGTTGACAAAATGTAATTTTTTTATTTATGTTTATAATTCCTGTAAAAAGCAGGAATTAAAAGTACAG